AAAAAGAATAAGAAAAGCCCAAACAAGGGGAAGTATAAGAGATATACAGAAGGTTTCAAAAGGCAACTTGAGAAGGCAGCAAAATTTTATAATGAAACGTGCAAGTAGCTTGAGTTAGAAAAAGCAAAAGGGAAGAACATGCTCAGCATTTCTTAAGCTAGATAAGCATTCTATAGACAAATCTTGAATGGTGCATGATGCTTCAAAAGAAAATAAAAGTTGTATAAAGTCATTGTACCAGAAGGAATTGGTTGACACTGAAGTAGCATATAATCAAGAACCAATAGTAGTCAGGGATGAAGTCCAAGCTGCACTGAAGGCATTTACTAAAAAACAAGGCTTCAGGAATTAATGAATACCAGTTGAGGTGCTTCAGGAAACAGATTCAACCCTGGATGGGCTCACCAGTTTCTGCTAACAAATATGGAAGGCAGCAATAACTGGTGAGCTAACTGGAAGAGATCAGTATTTGTTCCAACTCGCAAAAAAAGAGCGCTAGCATAATGTGGAAATTACTGAGAAATATCATTACTCTCACATGGAGCTAAGATCTTGCTGAAGATTACTAAAAATTGGCTGGAAGAGCATATTGCCAGGCAACTGCCAGAAATTCAAGCAGGATTCAGAAGAGGCTGTGGTACAAGGGGTATTATTATTATGTATGATGTCAGGTGGATCTTGGCTGCAAGCAGAGAATTTCAGAAAGATACTTAATTTTATTTATTGATTATATAAAAACATTTGACTTGATGGGTTATAACAAGTTGTAGCTAACATTGAGAAAAATGGAGATCATAGAATATTTAATTGTACTTACGTGAAACCTCTGCCTAGACCAACAAGCAGTTGTTTTCACAGAACAGTGGTACATTGCATGGTTTAAAGTCAGGAAAGGTGTGTGTCAGGATTTTATCCTTTCTCCATAGTTCTCCTATTTAATCTATATGCTGAGCAAATGATTTGAGAAGTTGAACTATATGTAGAAGAATGTGGCATCAGAATTGTGGAGGAAGCCTCATCATTGGCAACCCGTTTTATGCAGATGACACAATCTTGTTTGCAGAAAGAAGACTTGAAACACTTGCTCCACATGATCAAAGACTACAGCCTTCAATATAAATTACATCTAAACATCAAGAAAAAAAATCTTCATCATGGGACAATAGGTAACATCATAATAGGTAGAGAAAAGATTGAAGTTGTCAGTGATTTCATTTTACTTGGATCCACACCCATGGAACCATCAGTCAAGAAACATAAGATGTTGTATTGCATTGGGGAAATTTGCTGTCAAGGACCTCTTCAAAGTGCTAAAGAGCAGTGATACCAGTTTAGAGATTAAGGTCCACTAGATCCAAGTTTGATCTTTTATTTGTTTCCAGCGCATCTGAAAGGAGGACAGTGACTATAAGAAATCTTTGACTTGTGATCTTGGTGAAGAGTATTGACTATACTATGGTGTGCCAAAAGAATAAACAAATCTATCTTGAAGGAACTACAACCAAAGTGCTCCTTAGAGGCAAAGATGGTGAAACTTTGTCTCACTTTGGGCATATTTTCAGGAGGAAGAAGTCTTTGGAAAGAGACGCCATGCTGGGAAAGATGTGTGTGTGTGTGTGTGTGTGTGTGTAGGGGGTTATATGTCAGTGAGAGAAAGAGCCTCAATGAGTTGGATTGACACAGTGACAATCACAGTAGGTGTGAGCATGACAGAGATCCTGAGGAGGGCACAGGCTAGGGCAAGGTTCACATCTGTTTGTAGAGTTGTAAGGAGTTGCAGTTAATCGACTCTGTGGCACCTAACAACAAAGAACTATGTTTTTCCACTGCAGTTCAGATCTGCCAGATTTTCCAAGGGAGGAGGATGAACAATATTCTTCTTTGATTTACTGGCTTGAAAATGCAACTGGAGGGTAACCATGAGTCAGATGTGACTTGGCAATATGGAATTGGTTTTCTCTTGGAACTTGGGAAAGCAGTATACTTGTTGTTCAATTTTTAGTAAAGCAAAAAGGACATACATAGGGCATGGCCTGAGGGAGAACCTTACTCGGAACTTTCTTGTCTCCTCAAAAAGGAGTGTATTTGCTCCACATGCAATTTTTCAACATTCTTGTTAACATTTATTTTTCCTGACAATAGTCATTATAGCAGGTATGAAGGGAGTGGTGTAGTCAGCCTATAGAGAATTGAATGGAATGACAAAAGAATGGAAAGGTCAAGTGCCTCTGGTGATTCAAGTGCACCAGAAGCACAGAGGGAGAAAAACTGTCAGGTTCCTCCTAGTTTGATTTACAGCCTGGGAGAGCTGATGAAGGATTGCTGTGAGCTGGAATTGACTTTATGGCAATGAGTGAATTGGTGGACGTGAAATGATGGACATGAACACACACTGGTAGTATAGTGGATAAAGCACTTGACTAGGAACAAAAAGACTGTTAGTTAGCACTCATCACCTACCCGGCAGAGAAAGATATGGCATTGTGCATTTGTAAAGATTTACAGCCTTGGAATGGCTATGGGCCATTTCTATCCTGCTGTAGGGTATTGAATATATACTGTTATTCAGTTACTTTCATGTATGAGCTGGTAATTTACATGAGGAAAGTTGGTTGGATTAAACAAAAGTGGATTTTCTCTTTCCAGATTGCTGCAATTCTCCGGAAACGAAAATTAGACTATTATTTACACAAACTGCTTCCTGAGATCCTACAGTCTGCTTCATTTCTGACTGCTAATGGGGCCTTGTATATAGCTTTCTTTTGCCTTTTAAGGTTGGTACTCATAATCACCTTTGGAGATTGATGTTAATTCTTTTATTGAAACTGAAACAGAAATGTTGGTGTAAACATTGTACAAATTACTACCCTTTATTTTTTTCCTCTCATAAATGATTTATTAAAGAAAGTTTATAGAACCAAGAGTTGTAAGTCTCTTGACCCAAAGGTACAGTGCAGTAGAAACTTTTTATATTATTGGTGTTATTAGATAGAAAGAATATTTTAATATAGCGTAGATTTTTCTGAGGCCTGCTATAACTAGCAAATTGTTAGCTAGTATCTCTTAGTTTTTTCAGTTTCATGTTAGAAAGTTAAAGAAAGGTGACCATGAAATACATTTACTCCGTAGACATTTAACTTCTTTCAAGAAGAATATAAAATGCAGAGCTCTAATGGTGTAGTCTATCAGTAGTTGTCCCGCTAACTGAAGATAACACCTTTGATGGTTTGGATCAACCCATGACTCCATGGGAGAAACATGGACAATCTCTTCCCATGATATTTACAGCTTTAGAATACCTACTAGAGGGTTAGCAATGAGTCATTTCTTATTTAATGGTTATGAGAGTGAGTGATAAAAAGTACACAGTGGCCTGGTGGTAAGAGGCCGCATTACAATCTTGAAGGCACACGAGCCAAATCCACCACTTGCTACTAGGGAGAAGGATGGCATTCTCCTCTCGTGCGATTAACTGTCTTTGAAAACCTTCTGGAGGATCAGCCAGGGATCAGTTCAACTCGATGGTACACATCAACAACAATATAGAAAATGGTAACTCCTGATACTGTACTGTTGGTTCTGATTCAGTTATAGATTACTTATGCTGCATACTTCTTCATACAGTATTGATTCAGTTAGAATCTACTCTTTTGAGTGTTCTGATACAACTTACATGTTTATTTGATATTTCTTGGCTTTGTTGCACTGAGTGTTGAAATTTCAAACTAATATTTTTTTTGATCTATCAAGTTAAAACCTTTACTACGCATTGTGAAAGTTTACTGTAGCAACTAGTCAGTTATTTAAAAATAGTAAACAAGGGGAAACAAACATATTAATTAAAATATGCGGGAAGACTCTTAACAACAGAATGCAGAATTATCAAACAATATCATATGAAAAGAAAATTTTACTAAAGATTATTTAAAAATGACTGGAGCAGTATATCCACAGGGAACTGCCATAAATTCAAGCTGAATTATGAAGAGGCTGTGGAATAAGAGATATCATTGCTGAATGCCAGCTAGATCTTGGCTAAACATAAATACCACCAGAAAGATGTTTACTTTTGTTTTATTGACTGTGCAAAGGCATCTAACTGTGTGGACCACAATAGATTATGAATAGCACTGAGAAGAATTCCAAAAGGTTTAATTTTGCTCATGAAAAACTTCTAAGTAGACCCTGTGTAGTTAGTTACTTGACCAGAACAAGATGTTGCAGGCTTGAAATTATGAAAGATGTGCATCAAGGTTGTATTCTTTCTCTGTATTTATTCAGTATGTATGCTGAGCAAATAATTTGAGAAGCTGGATTGTATGAAGAACGTGACATCAAATTGGAAGATTTTTGAACAACCTGCATTATGCAGATGACACAGCCTTCCTTGCAGAAAGTGAAGAAAATTTGAATGACTGGCTACATAAGACCCAAGACTTCAGCCTTCAATATAGATTATACCTTAACATCAAGAAAACAAATATCCTCCACCAGATCAGTAGGCAGCAGCATCATGATATGGAGAAAAGATTGACGTTTTAAGGATTTGTTGTACTTAGATCCATAATCAACACCCATGATAGTAGCAATCAAGAAATCAAGAGACCTGCACTAGGAAAATCTGCTGCCTAGGGCCTCTGCAAAGTACTCAAGAAAGAAGGATGTTGACTTGAAGATTGAGATGCAGCTGACCGAAGACATGCTTTATATTTGTTTGGAAGTTGAGCATTGTATCAGGAAGACCAAAGAAGAATAGATGACTTTAAATTCTAGTGTTAGTAAAGAGTATTGAATATACTGTGGACTGCTAAGAGAACTGCTATCATGGAGGAAATAAGCAGGGTGCTCCCTAGAATCACAAGTGGTAAGACTTCATTTCATATATTTTGTGCAAGTTGTCAGGAGAGCAATCCTTGGGAAAAGACAGTATATCTATATGGAAAAGCAGAGGGTCATTGAAGGAGAAGACGACTCTCAATGAGATGAATTGACACAGTGATTACAGTGGCCTGAGAAAGGCATAGGTCATAATGAAAGCACACAATAAAGTTCAGATTAGATTCCATAGTACCACTGTTTGTCATAGCCAACTTGATGGAACATAACAATACGTACCAGTGTGTTATGTTAATGATGTTGTTGATTGCCGTGGAGTTGAGCACAACTCATAGTGACCCTATGAACAAAAACCTGAAGCATTTTTGTAACTATTGTCACTTTTCAAAGCTCATGGAGTTTCCGGAGGCATATTGTTTAGGAAGTGGATGCCACTCATGATTCCTGTGTTATAATAGTTATTAGTCATCATAATAACTTATAGTTAATAATTAGTAGTTAACAGTTATTGTTTATAAATTTGTAATCTTTACTCTTACCTCATATTTGTTTTGCTGAGTATTGCCCAAAGTAGTTTTATATTTTTTAACTTATAATTAAAAATGTAATTTAAAAAAATGTTTTATACTTTTTTCATCAGAGCAATAATGCCTAGAAACTATACAGATTTACCGAAAAATCTTTTTACAGAAAATAATTAATAAAGTTTTTTTCTATGCCTGATTAAATTGTAATGAATTGAAAATTATGTAACAAACTGTAACATTTTAGTGTCTGGAAAGTTTTTTAAACTTATAAAAAGTCTAAAACTATAACAGTTAAGTTTAAAGGATTTCAATAAAGTTTAAGGATTTCACTTGAAATGACAGTGTATTTCATTGTGTACTGTGGACTTATTTGGTTACTTTGTGGAATTATAAAATACAATTTAATTAACCTTGTGTTCCTTCTTTAACCAGTTGAGACCATTTTCCTCTTAGTATTTACATTTTATAAGTTCATTTTAGATTTTCTATTGGATTTCTTAGGTAGATATCTAAAGTTTCAAAAATATACATGTTACTTGAATTTCACTACTTTCAAATATGACTCATAACCCACATTTGTACATGTGTGTGCAAACATACATATATATGTTTATATAAGCTTACATATATGGGCATATCTATTTCTTATTTTTTTCCTCTGAAGCCTCATTTAGTAATTGATCAACTTTGTTCAAGTAATTTCTTAAGAATATTTACATACTTCTTCTCATTTCATAGGAACACACTGTATTTGAAAGGAAAAAAAAATCTTCATAATATGGCTCATTTTTTAAAAAATTTTTTAAAAATCAAGCAGCTAATGGTCATTTATAATATGTGAGACATGATGAAAACTCCTTTGCTCAAAGATTAAATTTTAGTGAAGGAAGCAGATATGTGTAATTAAAAAACAAGTAAGTTTAGGGCAAAGTAATCAAGTCTTGATAACGTAAAGGACAAAGAAATATAGTGAATGTTTATTATGTCTTAAGAGTGATTATTAATAGTACTAACAATTGTCATAACAACCAACATATTTTTCCAAATGTTTACTATGTGTGGTGCTGGGACTAACTCTTTGAGTTGTCCTTACAACTATATGAAACAGTGTATTATTGTTTTCATTTGATAGATAGGAAAACTAAGAACACAGAGTTTTCATCGTGAGCAGTGATATATCTAGGGAATGTCTGAGTTAATATGACTAAGTTATTAGAAGGAGAGATATCTGTTAGTTTACTGTTGTAGTAGCCTGAATTGTAGATGAGGCCACTTAACTAAGGCAAGGGTGTTAGATGGGAGAGGAATTTGAAAGATAATTGCATGTAGAGTAACTTAAAGGAATGATTTTATATGTGGGTAAGAAGAAGTTAAGGATGGCTCAAACATATATGGAAAGGCAGATGTTGATACCATTAACTTAGGAAAATAGAGAATAATTTTATGGGGTTAAAAAAGAGAAATAATACATTCAACTTTGGATAGGCTGAATTTGAAGTTGTGGAAATTTAGGACTGAGAAGGGGAATTTCTATTTGTAGTATCTGAAATGACCAACTAGGATTTTCATAGAAACTTTCAAATTTGAATTTCAGGAAGATACTTGGAAAATTCTATTCATGGAGCCCTGGTTTTGGTGCCGCTTTGCCAGCATCTTATGTGGCCATCCTAATTGAAAGAAAAAGCAGGTAACATTTTTCATGTTTATATTCTTAATAGTATACTGTCTTCTAGAGCAACTAGAAATTGCTTTATCATTTATTGTAGGCCAGCCATGAGAAATATTTGTAGGAATATTTATCAGTTTTGCAGGTAATTAATTGAAAGTTTAATTTTATGTAAATAGTTTTATTTATTATAGAATGATAGGCAGTGTCATGATGGATGAAGAGGAGATTGAAACTGTCAGCAGCTTTATCTTGCTTGGATCCACAATTAACACTGTTGGTACCAGCAGGCAGGAAATAAGGAGATGCACTGCATTGGGAAAATCTACAGTTAGGGACCTCTCCAAATTACTGAGGAGTAATGATGTCAATTTTTGACTAAGGTGCATCTGATTCAGGCCATAGTCTTTCAGACTACTTGCTGTGCATCTGAGACCTGGGCTATGGATAAGGATGACAGGAAAAGAATTGATGCCTTTGAGCTGTGGTGTTGGAAGAGAACACTGAACATCCCATGGATGACCAAGAGAACAAACATATATCTTAGAGAGGGTGCATCCAGAGTCCTTTCTGGAGACAAGAATGATGAAGTGTTGCCTCATGTATTTGGGCATGTTGTTAGGAGAGGTCATTCCTTAGAGAAGGACACGAAGCTGGGAAGGATGGAGAGTTGGTGAAGGAGAGGAAGATGTCCAACCACGTAGATTCATATAGTGACCGATGCCAGAGGCTTTTCTGTTTTAGGAAGTGTAAGGATGGCACAGTATAGAACAGAGTATCTTTTGTTCATAGGGTCGCTATGAGTCATACTTGATTTGCAGAAAACACAACAACAGCAACAACAACAACAACAACAAAAAGATGAATGTTGACACTATAGAACAGTAGCATTCATTAGAATCTGTTTGCCAAAGATTTAGAGAATTCTTTAACATGCATAGCTAACTCATGGTGTAATGCTTAAAATTCTATATATGGGTCTTCTCCATGATCACACTTAAGATTAACAATAGTGTTCTCTTACCTTAGTCTGTACTTCACTTCAGGTTAATGGAGTGATATTTGTTAAAATACTTTTTCCTTTAAAAGAATTTTCTCATTAAAAAAATGTATTTTGACTGTACCATGCTGCAAAATGTTCCTTGTGAATTTATAAGATGTCTATAAAACACTGCAAATAGTTCAATCAAGTAAACAATTAATGTTCCAAGTTTTTGCATAACAGAAACTTTGCTGAGTCATTATTTTTATTGCTGAGAACTGCTTTGATTCTATCTTTAACTCAGAGAATCAAGAAAGAATCATGTATTAAAATAGTTTATAAGGATATTTATTATAGCAATCTATCTCCTAGTAAGAGCATGGGAGTGTTGGTAGATCTTAACGAGTAACTAAATACATTTGGTTTGCTTGAATTTATTTCTTTTACCTAAAGCTTATCTTAAGGAACTGTTGTAAATGTAATAACATCTATATTTTTGTGGTTCTTTAAATATATAATGGTCCTGTGATTATTAAAATTACTAAACTCAGATGGTTAAAGAATGAAAAATTCAGCATAATGAAAAGATTCTGCCACTTGTAAGAACTGCGCAGTAATAGTAGAAGTTGTACTGTCTAGCTTAGGGTCCTGCGTAGGCTTCTTGCTGTACTCCTTCTGTGGCTTAGTTCTTACCTCCAAAATGGAGTTGTCTACTTAGTGGGTTGTTTAAAAAAAAAGTGAACTGTTATTATTAAAAGGGAATGGTGGTGGCCTAGAACGTAGAGTTGTGCTGGCAACCCAAAGACATGCAGTTGAAATCCTCCAGCCACTTCTCAGGAAAAGGAAAAGATGAGCAGTCTCCTCCCATGTGATTTACAGCCTCTGAAAAGCCACTGGAAGGTCAGCTATTCAATGGAATATAACACACTTGTGTGTGTGTGTGTGTGTGTGTGTGTATATAT